AGGTGTTATGTCATGTTTATGACAGTGTCATGACAGTCTTATTCAACCCCCTTCAAATAAAGTGTTACCAAATCTTTTTCTTTTAAGTGATGGCTTCAAGCAGCTGTTCAGTGTGAGAGTTTACTGTCTGGTGGAGGTTGAGCGGCACTCCGTCTGTGAAATATTGCAACCAGTAGCGTGTAGCGGTGGTTCAAGAGCCAGAGCAGAACCAGCGTCTTACACCATCAGCTTGAAGACTTGAATTACTTTTCGGGTTATTTGTTTAGTTTTCTGACCATGATGCTAATCTGGGTAAGTGTTGGTAGTTGTACGCTGCTTTACCCGCTGTCTGGCCACTCCGGATGTCTTTTTTTGTCCTGCAGTGTGCCCTTATGTAGCCAAACTCCATCAAGTTTTTTTAAATGCCATATTAAATTCGTTGTGTTGCTGCATTTTGACATGCTTCACCCCTGAGGTAATTTTCCACCACAACATGCATCCATTCATTCTCAGAGTGTCATAGTTCCGCAAGACAGGATTTGTTGCCGGGTCCTTGCGCAGTGTGAAGGAAAGAGGAGATTAGATGCACATGCAAGCTGTGAGGTGAGATAATTATGATTGGTTTTGGTGATCGGCAACAAGAGACAGTGATAGGTGATAGGCGATCACCGATCATACACTTTTTCACAGAAATTCGGCCGATCGATCGGCACACCTCTAGTGAGAAGTTTGTGGAAGAAAACCCAAAAGGTCTGACTTTTAAATAAGTTATCATTGATACTGACCAAATGTATATAAACTCTTGAATTCGAGAGTTTCAAGAGTTGGAAAGTTGGAAAAAATATTCTAAAAATGTTCTGGCCAAGTTTTCTGGAATTTAGTAAATAAATAAATAATTTTGGTAATTCTGGTAATTCTAACTAAGCTAAAACAGGTCAAGTTTGGTCTGATGCTGATTAGTGAACTGATTGAAACTGGACAGTGAGAAGACCATTGTTTGTGTGTTTCTACTCAGTATAAATATTTGATTACAAATAACAGAATTATATATGTGGATACAATCTAATAGCTTGCCACCATCAGAATGTGAATGTGCGTGAATGACTGAAGGTAGTGTGAAGTGCTGTGGGGTCTTCTGGACTTGATAAAATACTATAAAAATCCAGGCCATTTACCATTTTACTGAAAGTTTCAGATTAAATATGTGCACTTTTAAAAAGTCACTGGTAATATTGAAATGTAAATTATTTCAGTAATGTTTTTCATCTTTTAAGCAAGTTTTAATTAACAGCTTCAACCATTTGGATTCATCAAGAGCCAGCTAATTTCATTGCTTGACATAGTAAAAGCTGAAGCCTAGATGTATATTATTGAGTTTGTTAGAATCAAACAGAATTGTTGTATAATACCAGGAAGTAACATGATGGAGAACTGATTATGTCATGGTGTGTTCAGTCTTCCTTTTCAGGCACCGTTGAAGGAAAACCATACAGACAGTCAGCTCTCTTCCAGCTTGCAGAGGTAAGTGAATCATCTTTAAAAGATGCATGTTAAATTAATTAATGTCAGAAAGACAATGACATAACCATGTCTCCGTATTTAAAATTTGAGTACTTGAATAAGAAGGTTTAGGAAGGTCAAAATATTGTTGACAACAGCACTTCATTAATCCATGTTTTTGCAGGTAAAAGCATACATTAGATTTGATCGACTAAATCTCCATATGGATGTCAATCTTTTGGGACCTTTTAAGAATAATATTTAAACTTAGACTTTCACAAATTTCCAAAATAGCCCATCTAATGAATAGTGATATATGTATCTAGAACTTCGATAAAACGTCGGATAGTAGAACCTCGGCTTCAGGAAGAGCAGTGTGGTTTTTGTCCTGGTTGTGGAACACTAGACCAGCTCTACACCCTCAGCAGGGTCCTGGAGGGTGTGTGGGAGTTTGCCCAACCGGTGTACATGTGTTTTGTGGACTTGGAGAAGGAGTTTGACTGTGTCCGTCGGGGGTTTTGTGAGGGATTCTCCAGGAGTATGGGGTACCATGCCCTTTGATACGGGCTGTCAGGTCCCTGTATGACCGGTGTCAGAGTCTGGTCCACATTGCCAGCAGTAAGTCGGGCTCGTTTCTGGTGAGAGTTGGACTCCGCCAGGGCTGCCCTTTGTTACCAATTATGTTCATTATTTTCATGGACAGAATTTCTTGGCGCAACCAAGATGTTGAGGGGATCCGTTTTGGTGGCCTTAGGATCTCTGCTTTTTGCAGATGATGTGGTCCTATTGGCTTCATCAGATCGTGATCTGTAGCTCTCACTGGAGTGGTTCACAGCCGAATGTAAAGCGGCCGGGATAAGGATCAGTGCCTCCAAATCCGAGGCCATGGTCTTGAGCCGGAAAAGGGTACATTGCCTTCTCCGGGTTGGGGGGAGTGATTGGTGTCCTGCCCCAAGTGGAGGAGTTTAAATACCTTGGGATCTTGCTCACGAATGAGGGAAGAAGAAGCAGGAGATCGACAGGTAGATTGGTGCAGCGTCTGCCGTGAAGCGGGCACTGTACTGGTCCATCGTGGTGAAGAGAGAACTGAACCAAAAAGCGAGGCTCTCGATTTATTGGTTGATCTATGTGCCTAACCAGAGGTTAGAGATACTGTAGCTTCAAGGGCTGAACAAAAATGTTTCCAAACCTGGGCTATGAATTGTGGTCCGCGGTCAGATAAGATTTCTTGTGGGATGCCGTGTA